CAGTCCAGCAAGACTCATGTTGATCATTTCAAACTTAAATTTCCAGATCTGTTGTATAGAAAGCTTTATTTATTGTATTGCATTTCAATACATGGGCATATTTCAGTGTTCAGTATCATACTGACATCACACTATCTGCAACATGGATCCAAAAACTCACTTTAAATTTCATTTAGTCCAATTTCACCATTTTAGTTTCACATTGACTCAAGAGTTGGGAGTTCGCCTTGTAATCGGAAGGTTGCCGGTTCGGGCCCCGGCTTGGGCAGTCTCGGTCGTTGTGTCCTTGGGCGAGACACTTCACCCGTTGCCTACTGGTGGTGGTCAGAGGGCCAGGTGGCGCCAGTGTTCGGCAGCCTCGCCTCAGGGTGGCTGTGGCTACAATGTAGCTGCCATCACCAGTATGTAAATGTGTGTGTGAATGGGTGGATGACTGGATGTGTAAAGCGCTTTGGGGTCCTTAGGGACTAGTAAAGCGCAATACAAATACAGGCCATTTACCATTTGATCAGTGACCAAAAGCTTCATAGAGACTAGTGTTATTTAAAGAGGGATTACTAGTGTGACGTTTCAGTGCAGGGGACCTGGCTGTTGACCTGCACATTCAATAATACCAGTCATTTCAGTTCGGTAACACCGCCTGTGCATGTGTGTGTGTGTGTGTGTGTGTGTGTATGTTCAGTTGGTGGTTCTAAACAGGCCATAAGTGTGGGTTTGAGTGTGTTGTTGTCTGCATTATCCTCATAACTGACTGGCAACATGCCCAGTGTGTAAGCTGCTTTACCAGCTAGCATAAACTCCGGTCGCTTGCTTACCTGTCTGAGAAATTAAAAAAGAAACAATACCACATTTTTATTACCACTTTTCTCAATTTTCTTCCAGCCTATAAGATGCCTTACAAACAAACCATCGTCTTGAGCTACCCGGGGGGAAATGGAAATATAAGAAACCTCCAGTATCCAGTCAGCTTGGATAATTTGGATGACTTGGCACTTTAAATTGCATCAGCTTCTTCTCTGGTAGAGGAAGTCAGAGGTGACAGCCCACAGTCCCACACCTGAGAGTTTGATGGTGCAGATTCATCTTGTCTGCTGTCAGTCTTTACATTTATATTTCCAGTTGTAATAATGCATAAACTGCAGAACCTAGCTAAACCTCA